TAGACAAAAAAAGGGCAGAACTAGTTAAAATCATACGCTTTATTGCGCGCGTTCGAATTCTTTGAGAAAGAATGTATACGCTTAAAAATTGGACAATATATATGCTTTGACTATTTTGGTATGCGCGTGATGTATAAATAGGGATTTATAACAGGCTACCGTTTGGCGTAACAATAAACTCATATATCTAATAATTAACAAGTTTTATCTTTTAGCAAATATTGACAGAGTTGTAAGTAAATACTCATATATTTATAATATGTTATTTACATGTATATTGAAAAATTGTCAATAGCATCAGAATGGTAACATAATTGCTCTGTTCTTTGAGTAAATAACATGCGTTTATAATACTATATTTTCTGCTTTAAAATTTCAAAGAAAATCGTAGAAAGTTATGATAATCTTTGCATTACCAATAATATGGAACTACTAAAAGAATAAAGCAAATTTTTATTTATAGATTTATACATTGATTCTTAACTCAACATCTTAAATGCTGTAATTGCATATCTGAAACAGTACATAAATTCAAAGATTTCAAATTCTTAAAACGATGTTTAATTTACAATGATTTGTAGGATTGCATATTTATTTTTAAAAGTTAGTACATTTTCATTGTTAAGTTATTATTAAGTAGACCTGATCTGCGCAAATGCGACCTGGTTTCTGCACCATTTCGTAATAAAACCCGCGAAAGTTTTATAACCGGGAAGTCTGCATAATTATAATTAAGTTTTCAAACTCGTAAACTATAACAAGAGCTTATATATGCACAACAATGGTTGCTCGGCCAGAATGCATTTCCCTTGAGCTTACTATGTAAGATTTTTGTTGCCATTTATCAACATAGTGCTCAACTGGTCTATTTCGTAAAGAAAAAATATTTTTGAGACAAATAAAATAATACATAATTGGAAAAGGGAGAAGTTCGAGCACAATAGCTGATAAAACTGATGTACTAATTGCAATTAAAAATGTGAACATAAATATTTTGTGCATACATCTCCAAGTGATGTAGGACTACTGCATGATTTATGCTGAAGGTAGTTCATTGAGGCAGAGTACCTGTAAAGCAGTTTGCTTAATTAATAATATATATATTATATATATATATATATATATATATATTACAGGGCCGGTCCTACCTTGAATGCGATGCATGCAAAAAATGCGGGCGCACGCCTTAGGGGGCGCCAAATCGAGATTCGGATATGAAATTTATAATATATGTAGTTTTTTCAAAATCATTAAAAAATATAAATCTTCTTTGCATCTTTTACTTACTTTGGACAATTAAAATAATGCCTTACCTTACTCTTAAAATAATTTAATATGAAGTACCAGTGTTATGTTTTTGCTTTCTATGATTTGTTCAAAAAAATAAATCGCATAAAATCCCTAAAATAAATAAGTAAAATGTTTCAAAAACCCAATATTTATTACCAATTTGTTAGAATTAAATGAAAATTTCAAATATTTTTGCAAGCAATAATGAACATACTGAAATTTTTGGATGTCCGAAAAAGTCTGGATTGAAATGCGGGCGCTGAGTACCCCAGGACCGGCCCTGTATATATATATATATATATATATATATATAATCATTTTTCTTGATGTTGAAATGAATATTTTTATTTTTAATTAAATAAAAAATAATTTTATTCTGTTTTGCATAATTCGATGCAAACCCATGTTGCCCACGTTTACCTGATACGTTCGCAGATGCAAAATATATTCACTTGGCAACAGCCGTCGCTTATAATCTCATTAGCGAGAAACTTTATTTCTTAGTAACTTTACTTTTGTTAGTTCAAGTTAACCCACCCAATGTGTACTCGTAAAAAGGTTTCATTCCCCTATAGGGGCAGACTTGTAATTCGACATAAAAACTTTTCCAAACCGCAAGAGTTTTTATGCGATCGGGATAATATATTTCAGGGGTGGGGAATAGATATTATCGTAACATTATTGAGAATTGTGGATTGGTTTATGATGGTAAATCAGTTACATATTTGTAAATAGTTTATTTTTTTATGTACTTTTAATCTAACTCCCATCAAAGAGAGAAATTAGATAATAATATTTAGCTATGGCAATTTATTTTTCTAGTTTCTGAATAAAACCGCTTGTATACTGATAACCGTTTTTATGCATTTCTGGTAATTGTTTACCAGAAATGCATACTAATTTTAGTGCAATGTTCAAGATTTAAAATTCCAACAAAGCATTTTTAATTTTTTGAAGGAGAAGTTTTTTATGTCTTTGCCAGAAAATTTGCTAATTTTATTTTTTCTCATCGTTTAAAGCTATTGTAACTCGTTTGGCAACAAAAATAATAACACTATGTATGTGTATACTTATGTGAGCTAAATTTAACCTTTTGTCAACGTTTTCTCTGGAACGATCAGTTTAGAGTCTGACCAAAAAGGGCAACACTTTTGGCTAACGTTTTCACAATAAAACCTGAACCAAAAATTTATTCAATTTGGCTAACGTTTTCGCAACAAAATATTCATGCAACTTGCAAAGTAAAGCAAAAGCAAAATCTCTAGTGCCTTACATTTAGTTAGAGTTATTTATTCATAAAATTTGGCACTGATTATATTTGCTGGATATTATCATATAATGTTTAATTTATATTAGAAGTTTCTAATAAAGTATGTATTGGATGAACTTGTTACATAGCTTTAGATTGTTATACGGAAATTTTTCTGATAATATTGTTGGTTAATTGATAACCTCATTTATTTTCAAGTATTCATAACTTTGTTGAATAATAATGCTCCTTATAGTTCCAACCTTGTCAAGTAGTAAAAGCTCGATATTCCTGTACTACAACTAGTATTCTGGGCACGTACTTGGAAATCGTAGAAGGTATATTTGCTTCAAATCAAATAAATGACTGGATGGAACACATGTAATATGATCATACATCTATTGTAGCTATGAATATAATAAAAATAATTTGCACATTAGTTCTAGGACCCAGCGTATTTTTTGCAAATATTGCTTGTACCTTGGCCCAGTTTTTTTAGCACTCGACATATTATCTGGTTTTTTTACCATCGAACGTATTTCTGGCCTCTTTTCTTAAACTTATAAAAAAAGGTGCTGTCTTTTATTTGTTTAATTTATAGCAATGATATTGGACCTATAGCTAGCGCAACTTTTTTCATTCCGTCGTAGAAACGATTGAAAGTTTGTAGAATATAAATTTCCAATGAGTAGAACATAAAACCGGCGATCTGGCGGATTTTTTCCGGTCGTAGCTTTTCAGCTGCTGGTTGAAAATTTATCATGGTAGCAATAAAATAGCTATAGTAGAACAGATACAAGAGTCTACTAAGCCATTATAAACATTACTTAATGCATGTGTATTAAATTAAATTTTGCTAAACTAATCATATTTTTTCGCAACTTGGCATTATAGATTGTCGGTGTCGGCGGAGTCAAAATTTCATATTTCTATCGTCACAATTTTGAAACTTACTAACTTTCAGTTCATATTGATTATATCGATACGCGTATAGGAAAGTCCCAACTTGTCTTAAGACAAAGTGCCTTAAATCTTAAAATGATTTTTTTTGTTATAATTAATAATAATTTAAAATTATTAAATTATAATTCTAAAAGTTTAAAACAAGCTAACTGTATCAAAAATTTAAACGAAATTTAGTGTTCTGAAAACTTTATATTAAAACGTGCGAAACATTTCATATTACAAATATAAAAAATTATTTTTATCGATAGTACATTCTACGTATGATCATTATAATTTGAAAATTAATTTTGTTTAGACGTTAATCAAGAAATTACTGTGTGAGCGAAGCGATAAAGTTTTAGATCATACAGTAAAACCTCGTTAAGACTATTACGTTTAAAATATGTCTCGTATAATACGCCACTTTACGCTTGTTCAGGCACTTTGGCTATCTGCTTAGGAATGATTTTAGTTTGATCTATAGAAATTGTCTTAACAGGGTTTAACGGTAGTTATTATTAATTTTTTTAATGCTAATCTTTGAATTTAAATTCACTTATGTAAGTCAATTTTATTGCGATTTGTATTTTTGGTATAAAATCGATTCCAAAATTTCTAAAATTTATTTGTTTTCGGCAGTCGATAATTTTTCGTTTGATTTCACAAATGAATATAAAAAATCATTTCTACCAAGATGTTATAACTAACAAAAAATGTATAAAAGGCTTTAATACTAATAAATTTTAAAATATAATACAAATATTAATTTTGTTGAACAATCAATTACTATGCGAACGAAATTGTTAAAGGTTTAGAATATACAGTAAACCCCTTTAAATCGATTACTGTTGAAATATTTCTCGCATAATACACACATTACGTTCCTTCAGGCACTTATATCATATCAGGCACAGAATAATATTGTTTCTTTACCGCATAATACGTTTTTCTGAGTAAGACATGTTTTAAGTTCGGTCGCTAAAAATTCGTCTTAGCGGAGTTTTACTGTAGTTATCAGCTATTATGAGTATTTTATATTTAAATTTACTTATGTAAGTCAATTTAATTGCGATTTGTATTTATGTTATGGTGTCAATTAATTACAAAATTTGTGAATTATTTAAAATCGGCATACAACCATGTTCGTTTAAATTCACGAATTATGTCTAGTTTTCCTACAAATTTACTTGTCCTTTCTGGATAGGTTTAAAAAGTATGGCAAAAAATAAAAATAATGTTCACTTATTAGTGTTTTATCAAGTTGGTGATATAGTGTTGAGAATCACTGTATCAATGCTGCAGCATTGAGATTGCAGTTATTGGCATCTGAAACACAAGCAGTTAATTTTGTCCCCTTCTTCAATACAAATAAACATGTTTTGCTCGTGCAAAAGTACCCAAGTACTTTGTATATATATACATATAATATAATATACCTACTACGCCACCTCTCTGTATGAATATTTTAATCACCTTACAACATCGGATCAACAGGCGTTCATGAAATAATACCAGTTGGGCGATCATTCAAACACTTGCTTACCGACGAGCAACAATGTGCCAACGGATATATTTTTAAAATAATTTGTTTGGAATTAGTTTGTGCCGAATTTATGGACAATATTGTGTTACTATAGGTATATATTCATATGCTGATAATTCACAATCTTAATACCTAGTGAATGATGTGATTTATAAGTTAATTTGGGGCAAAGTTAATATTTAACTAATTTTATTTTAAAATTAATTTTAGAATACTTTGCGTTAACGAGAAGTTAATGACTCTAATTTTCAATTCCTTAATTGAAATTTTTAATTACATTTTCTTAAAATATATACATACCATATAAAATACATTATTTAGAAACGATTTGATTCAAATTATTTATTGTATTCATTACTATTGGTATATATTCATATGCTAAATAATTCACAATCCTAATAACCAGTGATCGATGTGATTTGTGTGTAATTTTTTGCCCAATTAATATTTAATGATTTTTGTATTAAAGATTATTTCGGAATACTTTGCGTTAATGAGAAGTTTATGACTGAAATTTTTAATTCCTGAATTGAAACTTTAAATTTTATTTTCGTAAAATATATGCATATTATATAAATTATTATATTTATTATAGCAAAATTATTGCCGAATTTATGAACAATATTGGGTTATAGGCACATATTCATATGCTAATAATTCACATTTTCATCATAATAAACAGTGATCGATGTGATTCATAAAGTAATTTTTTGCCCAATTAATATTTAAAGAATTTTATATTAAAGATTATTTTGGAATACTTTGCGTTAATGATATGTTTATGACTGAAATTTTCAATTCCTAAATTGAAACTTTTAATTCTATTTTCGTGGCATCACAGATGAAAAATATTATTTTTTTTAACTATTTTATTCAAATTAATATTTGTATTCATTACAGTAAAATTATAAGTGACTCGAAATTTTATTTAAGATCATCTTCTTTTGCAAAGCTGTTTCAGTTTTGAAAACTACACAATAATTGAGCATTTTTGATGTTTCTTTGTTATTAAAAAATTTAGTGTTTTTGTTAATGATGTTTTTTTCGTAAGAAAGTCTAACGATATAAGAATAAGTCGATGCTCCGTTAATAATTTATTTTTTCTAAGCAATTATTTATATTATACTATATTTTTAGCACAAGTTAATGTGTTTCGTACTATCTGAAATATGTTTCAAACTTGATAAAATTTCGATGCCAGCCCAAAATAGCTGTTCAAATATTTATTACCCAAATTTAGATACTTTGGAAATTTCTGTCACTAAATTTTTAAATTACTAACTAATTAGTTAGTAATTTAAAAATAACAACAATGAAATTTATTAATTTTTTTTAAATTTTATAATTACTCTTTGGATATTAATAAACCTGTAACTGCCATTAATATATGTAGTCATAATGTCAAGTGAAAGTTGCAAATACCAATTATTGTTTTGTACAATAATATACTAAATGCTTATATTGTATAAAATTTATTTTGTGACTTGTATTTTCTGATATTATTTCTTACAAAAGAGTTTGATTTATCAAAATTTACATTTATAGAAACGTAAATTCATTTAATTAGAAAATAAAAACTAATTTAGTATGAAGAGCAATTAAACTATTTTATAAATTCTGAGGTGAAAATGCATCTTTTGAATGCATTTACTCCACAGATCGCTATACATATTTTTTCAAATTATTATAAAAATTCAAATTCGAATAATAAATTTCAATTTATTATTCATAAGAAATTAAATGTAAATTGAATAAATCAGCCACATGCATTAAAATGCATGCAAAATTTAAATGCATACATGCCTCAGAATCCATAAAATAGTTTTACTGATTTTACAAATAAGTATTTATTTTGCTAATAAAATATTTCTTTTAACATTACAAAAAAATCAATTAGATTTGTTATTGATACAATTATTTAGTATTGTGTAACTAATAATAAATATTTACATTTTCAGTAAAATAAATTGAATAAAGTGATTAATTAATAAAAGTTGTGTCAAAAAGTTTTGTGGTATCAAAAATGGCTGGATCACACAAGAAGCATAAAACTGTAAGTCTTTATTTTACATATTTTTATAATGGTAATTTCTACCTATTTGAAAGTATTTCTAATTACATTGATTAATTGCTAATGATTCTCAATGATATTTAGTGCATCATCAGTAAAATTATATATCATGTTTGATATTGTTTTCTATTGTCTAGACTTATGTTAAACAACTTTTATTTAGAGCACAATAACAAAATTTGAGAATCATTATATTTATTTATTGATCAGTTCAAATTGTGTGGTTATACATTTGAATTATGTTTGATGCATCTGTACAGCATCACTATTTAGTGTCATATTTTCGTTTTTTTTTTTGGCTTTGTGTATTTGCATATATGCATGTATTTATGAATGTATGCAATATGCATGTATATCAATAAACATAAAAAAAGTGTAATATTTTTCTAAATGGTGTTCCGTCAGCATTTTTTTTATCTTCTGCAGCCATGTTTACAAATAATGTTATACGATACTTAGAAATCAGAGTAAGGTATCGTCGAGGTAAATTGAGACTGAGCAACTAAACCAAGGATTTTTATTGGTTTAAAAAATGCCGCTTAAACACTTTGATGATTATTAATTTGTATCAATAAGATTTGAAAATAATGAAGATACAAATCAATAACAAGTAATTGGTGTAATCTGTGTGATAAAAAATCTTCAAAGGCTAGTTAAATTGTTTGTTGTACCTATTCGTGATATAAAAAGATAAAAATAATTAACTGAGCTTATCAGTAAGAGTGATTCATAAAAATGCATTAGATATAATTGTCTAACTAACTTTTATCAAGCCAGTTATTAGGAATACATCCATATTTTTTATTTTTTTTTATTTGGCCTTGCTTACTTTGAGCAGTTTGCCACCTACATTATTTTTATTTATTTACATTTTATACTTATTTTTATATCATATTCAATCTATATATATCCTATTCTATATTCTTATTTTTTTAAATTTTTGCTCTTTCATATCAAATTTCTAATTTTATTCAACTTTTATTTTCATCCCATTTTTTTCTTCATTCTTCTTTTTAATCTCAGCAGGTTCTAATATTTTTTCTTCTCACTCCTAATACAATTCAGCTGATCGAATTCTGTAATTCCTATTTTTCTTCAATTTCAAATTAACTACATATATTTTTTTTCTTAAATTCTAAGTCATAAATTTTATGACCTGTGACCTTGACAGGATTTGATCCTGAGATCCCTTTCATTGACTGTGACATTGACAGGATTTGATCCAAAGATCCCTGTCATTGAAAGTGACATTGACAGGATATGATTCAAAGATCCCTGCCATTGACTCTGACATTAACAGAATTTGATCCAAAGATCAGTGACATTGACAGGATATGATTCAAAGATCCCTGTCATTGACTCTGACATTAACAGGATTTGATCCAAAGATCCATGTTATTGACTGTGACATTGACAGGATTTGATCCAAAGATCCCTGTAATAGACTGTGACATTGACTGTGACATTGACAGGATTCGATCCAAAGATCTCTGTCATTGACTGTGACATTGACAGTGAGCTATGCTAGCCACCATCTCATAAATTAAAATTAAAATATTGGCAAATGTTGAGATTTCAGATGTAAAATACTACAATACTAGTATTTTCAAGTATTTAGCACAAAAGTAATTAAATAATTTACTTTATATATACATAATCGGGTGTGTAAAATTAAATGTTGAAATTTTGTCAAAAGTACTTAAATATTTGTTCATTATTTACCTCTAATTACTTATTCATTACGAAGAAAACAACTTTTGACTTCCCTTAGTCCTCCTAACTTATTATATACAAGTTTTGGTCTTTCCTTCTAAAAAGCGATATTGTTAAGAAGAATATATCTATTATAATATATAACTCTTACAACTGTAAAATTCTGATAATTAACGCCACCGAGATGGCATATAATTAATACTTTATAATTATATTTTGTATATAATAACGCAGTTCTAAGAGACAGATCCACACTTTTATCAACCTACTTTTGACTCTGATTCAAAAGTTTTTGAGTCGATATTATTCAGAATAGTGAACCTTCTAAATTTTACTTCGACCAACATTGGTTATATGAGCTTAGTGTAAGAACCATTATTCAGAAAGATTTTGGAGTTTATGGAGTTCTTATTTTAATTCATATTTGTATAATAAAGTTTTGATTGACAAAAAAAATGTATATCAGTCTTAATCTTGAATTTTGCATTAAAATATAGTATCTCATCTATCGTTTGCCTTTACAGTGTTGATGAAGTCTTCTATAGTCATTTACAGTTTTCTGTTCGAATTCATTAATAGCATTGACATCATTTATCGTTTTTGACATATTTTGTTTTAATCCTTCCCCCTCGCGAATTCCAGACTTAACACGTACTTTGCGGCCGGAGTGGCGGCATTGGAGTGCAAAGGGTTACTATTTTTACTTTTTGTATTTACAAATTGCTAAAACTATTAAGATCAAAAACGTAGAAAATATTAATGATAGATCTGCAAAATGTGTGAAATTACTTTGTATCTTGCTATGCAATTTTAAATACCTATTAATTTTGAAATTGATATGAATATATTATTTTACCTAAATTTTATTATTGACTTATAGTGTCATGAAATTTATCATCTATTGTTATATATTATTGGTATACTATAAATATGTACTTGGGAATAATGAATAATAGTAGAACCATGTTTCTATTATAAGGTTCTGTTGTTTTTTGTAAATAGTATTCTACCAATATCAGAAAATAATAATATTTGTGATACTCTCGATTTGTAACAAAATTTGAGAACATTATTATCATGTTGATTATTAATAGGATTTCGAATGAATCCAGAAACTTAACAATCGTGATTGCATATCTGTTTTACGTGATTTTCTTAATCGAAATTAAAAAAAAAGATTATTTTCAATCAAAAATATCTGAATTTTTAAAATAATCAAGTAAAGATCAGTCTGCTTTTAAATTCAGTAAATATACTAGCTATACTAAAGACAACATTAGAACGTCGTCTGATTGAATAAAATATATGACGTAAAGTTATATTAAAATTAAGCTGTTTTTACGGAGGGGAGTAGAAAACGCGTGTCTATTCTGAATTGAATAGAAAAATGCAATTTTTAATAAGAACAATCTGTCATTATAAGTAAAGTAACAATTAAGGCTTTAAAAACAATTTGTTATGTGATATGTCTTCATTTGTTGATGCAAATATTGACAATTGCCACCGTATTGACAATCTTCTAAAACAAACACAAGATAATCTTCAGTAAATATTGCAGGTTATTTATTTCATTACACAACTTGGAAAAAAATTCCTTTAACTTGAGTGGAAAATTTAATAATAGACCATATTTTCTTAAATATCGTTTAACGAATTAAGTCAAATTCTTAAAATCATGCAAATTTAGTTTTTTGAATTTATTGTTAATTTATTCTTTTCGAATTTCGATTGCCAAATATTTTGTCATGTCATCGTTAATACTGTATTGCGTTCAATTCATATTTATCCGTTTCTAAAATCTATTTTAAACAATTGATTTATTCATCATTTTCATATTATTTCAATATTTCATAAACCAAACCTCGTTTTGCCATTACTGTTAAGAAAATTAATTCATTTTTTTAAACATATTTCAGTCTGTACGTAATGTGAAATCCCATTTTTTGAGCGGTTTTCTTATATAATAAGCTTTATTACAAATATTGCTTGGAATTAAAAAAGGAATAAATCGTTACTATCTTGTAACTGTTTATTCAAAATATGTTTGTATCTCAGGTTTGGACAAATAATCTTTGCAGTAAAATAACACCTAATAGCAGTATTGAAAATTTAAAGTAAATAAAAACTTTGGTATTTCTGATTTTTTTCTTTCAATAAATCAAGAAATATCACAAATGCAAAAGGCGAACCGAATTTAATTATGTGTTGAACGGTTTGAAGCTGATAAAAACAAAGTAAAATGGACGTGACATTCTTAATCTTTATTATGTAATTTGTTGTACGAACAATAAGTATAATAATTCAAATTAAGATCTACTGTGATAAAATTCTATTCTGAAACATCATGACATGTATGTGGATATGTTATAATATTTATATATGATACAGAAACAAAAAAAAAAATATTTGTTTTTTTTAGTTAGTTTTTTTTTGGTTGTGTGAAACGGTTGTTTAGTTTAGAAGACCTTAATATAATTTCAAAGTGTACGTTATTTAGTTGTTTTATAAGATGTGTTATTAATTTTAAGTTAGAATCAACAGATAATTTTATATAACCAAGTAAATAATAGAAATTAATGCAAATTTAGTTTAAAAAGAGCCATTTTACAAGAAACAGATTAAATTCATAGAGTTAATCCAACTCTGCTCATGCGCAGTCTTATCTTTATCAAAAATGTGCCCAGAAAATTGATATTCTTCATTGTTTGAATATTGTTGTTATTATTCTTAAAACTCCCTCTAAAATTTTATTGAATTTTTCCCATAACTTGCCACTTGGCATTGGATCTGTTTGCCTCCTGGCTGCCCCATTTTACCTCGCCTATGGGATATTGAGGGACAAAGGAAAAATTTTAGAAAACCAGTTAGAAAATATATTTTCATAAGTAGGAATTAACTGGGAATTGCACTGCAAATAGTACGATTTTTTTCATTCGTTTGTTTGATGATGTATTATAGTTCATTTTCGTACAATTACTTGAAGTCAAATTGGATCCTTGTGTCCTACCTTATCATTACATACGATCAATCAATATCCGTTAAAAGGTTTGAGTATTTAAATTTCTACTTTTTACACTTATTTCCAAATTAACTGTATGGCTGTATATATTGTTATTAAATTTGATTGGTATTGATTGTCAGTACATATCGCCCAAATAACTTTTTATAATTAAATATTAATCTAGCAGTAATAATAAAATTAAAAAATGCAAAACGCAGTTGCAAAAGATAAAAGTGCAGCAAAAGATGCTGATGCATAAGATCAGTTTTGTATGCAGATGGAAAAGTTTATCTCCGCACGTTCGGTGACGCATTTGCACTAGCATTTTTGATGGTATTTGTAACTACTATTTAGTAAACAAAATATTTCAAATCAAATAAATAATATTAAAAAAATACTTTATTTTTAAAGTGATGTGATTAATTGTAAATATTATATCACGGTTCATTAATAAAATAATAATTGTGATAAATGATTAATAATGATTGTTAACTGAGTATCAAATGACATCATAATAATAGATAATAAATTGCGAATTAAACATTACAATGTTATGTAATTAATAGATTTTTTCGATAATTATTAATTAATTAACTCTTTATTAAAACTGCACATAAAAACAAGTTAATGCAGAAGAATTCTATTTAATATTTATGCCATATTATGTTTTAATATTTCATAATACTGTCAACCTGTTGTTGACTTGAACTCACTTATTGACAACCAAGTTTTCCACGAAAAATAAAAATCGAAATATGCAGATTTCACAAATATTTTTCCAATCCCGTGTACATAATTTTTGCAATCAACATTGTATGCGATCACGTTGAATAATTATGCTGTATTATCGCTTATCATTTTTGTTAGGATAAAAATTCCTAATGTTTGATAACACCTCGTCTTAATATATTCCCAATTAGTGCGATTTGAAACGTTTCGTAAATATTTGCGGTGACATTTCATGCGGAAGTACTTATTTTTTGATTTGCACAGCCAATTAAGTCATTCACAATGAATATAAATTTATGTGAATAACTGCTGTACACATTTATATTTGCTTAGAGACATTACGTTCCTGGGCTGTTAGCCACGTGCTCTCGTGATATGTTTGCATCGATGTTTTTGCCATACGTCTTTTATTAATAACGATTTTCATACGCTATTAAATTATTTGATACGATTTTATATTATATTCAACTATAAACGAGTGATTTGTCATATTTTTTATATCAAGGACCATCAGAGTTTGTCATGACTTCTCATAGCTTCATAGGTGACAACGAACGATTGTCATACATTTACTTGATGAAATTATCATTAAAAACTCATACTGATAATATTTTATTGGGGTTTCAATTCCAGGGGGGAGATTGAAATATTTTCTAAAATATCATCGATTTCGCACTTCTGTGGCTATACTTCTTGAAGGTTTTATGTAAGGCGAAGTCTCGTAACGCCGGACGGCATCTAGGGCCGGACATTCTATTTAACGAGCCAGTTATATAAAAAAATAAAGACGTCATTCGAGATACATTACCTAAATAGCTTTTTTTACTTATATGCAATTTGATACCACGATACACGCCTATTTTGCCAAAAGCGAATACTTTCCAAGGGCAATGCAATCATCTTAATTTTCTCTTGAAATGTCTACTTACTTCCGAGCATAGTAATCATGACCTTTCTGATATGGGATTCTCACAATCAGACCTACTCATTCTCTGATCAAATATCAAGGTTCTTGTAAGTACGGACTTTTTCGAAATAAAAAATTGCGAGACCTTTGCAAATAACGGAAGTAAGGACAAGAGATAAGATACAAACAATGGCGACATTTCAAAGTCATCTCACGATGACATAAATCATTGAGCTATAAAGTATTTATTTACAGAACAGTTTGTAAGTATACTACTATTTCATGATAATAATGAATGGAAAATTTGAGAAAAATATTTTCCATATTCAATGTCTAATTTTTCTTATCTTGGTATCATCCTTCGTTCTGAAACATTAAATAAATTTTCTTTTTCTTTATTTGTCATTGATTGTTGGTTTTATATATAAAATTTGTGTAATTTACCGAAGGAGAAGTAATTATGTTCATCTATTATTAATCAGTATTTTAATTAATATTTACCAGTTTTTAACTCCTCGAATTACATGTCATTCTAAATCGTTTGAAACCAAGATTGAATTAGGTATGTGTATATGAGTGTTTCGATGAAATGAAGAGATCACATTTCTGCAAAGGCAGATGTCCAGCAGTTATGGATATTTAAAAAAAGTTTAAAAGTTGCCATTTGGTGATCTAAAATGATCATCACAAATCATTATTATTAATTCATATGCAAATAGAATTATTGGTGGACAGGTAGACAAGTGGTAGGGTAGACAGATAAAGGGTAGACAAAAAAATGAAGTGGATAGGCAGATAGGTAAGCAGGTAAACAGATAAATAATTAAAAAATAGGCACAGTGTGAAGAAAGATTAATTTATTTTTGATTAGTTTTATGCCACAATCGGACGAGCTATTACTTTATAATATATCAGATGAGTGCAATATTTTTGGTCGACGTTTTTTCCAAAACTCCTGATCCATTTCAAACTTCCATTTTAGTTGAGAATCGTGTTGATCAGTTTTTAGTAAAGATCCTATCGCTTTACTATATTATTTTTAAAAAAAACTGCTTTTGACGATTAAAACTTTGCATAGATCATGGTTTAAACAACCATACTAAAATATTACATGTTTTCGAAAAGTAATTTAACAATAAAATTCATTCAAATTTGGAATGGCCACTTTTTGTGCACTGTATATGAATTAAGCGCGTGTTCATTTTCCTTTCATTAATTTGTAATATTTGAAGTTATTTATCAAAAGTAACCACCATGCTATTTATTGTATAAACTGCAGTTTCTTATATGTCAGGTTCTACAGCAATTTAATATAATTATAAACCACTAAAATTATTATATTGATTTCTTAATGATTAAGACTATTGTAGAACCTGTATGTACATATTGTATATTGGAAAGTCTATGCAACTCACCTTAAAGCTAAATTCCACTAACGCCTAGTTTTTTTTCTATTTTCAGGGAACGTACCAGATAATTAGATCATTCACTGGGGATTGTCCGGCTGTTTCAAATTATCTCGCCGACAAGAAGACTAAATCAGCTTGGTTGGCTCCAAAGTTTTTAGACGCGTTTTTCAGGTCTTACAGTCAGGTGAATTCACTTAATTTAGTCAATATTAGTGTATAATAGTTAGATTACATACTTCACATTTTAAACAAGTTTATATTCACATATTAGCGGCGAAATATTATGTTAATGGCACGATAATTTAAATTATCTATTAATTAAGAATAAATTATTTATTCCATATACATTAATTAAATGTGTAGCTTATATGAATATCATTGAAAATTAAGTTTTTTTAATTAAACAAAATGATTAATTAGAATTAACTTTCTAGTAAAAAGATTAATAATTAATACTCTAGTAAAAAGATTAATAATTTTTAATTATGTATCTTATATAAATCGCCACGTTAATAGTCACATTTACATAACGTAAAATAACAAATGATATGATATTAATTGAATGTGTAGTTTATATATCTTAAATATTTTGAATTAAACAAACAGGTTGAAAATCAACGCAATTAATAATTATGTATTTTTTATGAAATTGCAAATTTGATATAATTATTTATCAAGCCAAGAAAATTAACAAGGGATAAAATCGCTGTAAATTATAATGAAAAGATTAAGCAAAACTCACATTATCAAATAAGGTTTGTTATACAAACTGCTTTGCCTAAATGATAAAAATCTTCTCTCCGACTTTCAACATTTTCATCCTGCACATAAAATCCTCAGCGAATAAAATGCGATTAGCGTTGTTCAAGGGCAGAATAAATGCATTAATCTCTCTAAAGTTTAGTTGGCAGAAAATGTAAGAAGATTAAATACTTATGTGGTATAATAGTTAGTCGAGAACTTTATCTACAGCTTGAAAATCACTTACCCGCAAGTTAAGGGCAACGGGCTATGCGGGTTCAACTAATTGATTAAAGTTTGCAATAGATCACTCTTTAAGAATCAAGTAATAGATTTCAAATAAAACGATTATATTTAATTATACGATCAGTTTTGATGGTTTTCTTGAAATGAAACCAAAATAGAGCGGTACGGCTTTAAAGCTCAGCAACTTTGAAGTGCTTTACTCAAAAAGAGTGTTTCTCCTCTAGGAATGCAATATATTCTGAGAAACTTTGAATGAAGGAGGTAATTTTGTACATATTTCTGAGTTTAGTTATTTTCATGAAAATATTGTAGGAATTAATTTTGTTTAGGGCACTTACCAGTTGTTGTTAAGTTTACATACTGACTATTATTTATGTATTATTAGTTACAAAAGCCTTGCATATATATATATACTTGTTATTCGTACTTATGAATAATTTCATTTGTGATGCATATCAATGCTGATCCCATTGAATATATTGATTTATTGAAACTGTGTTTACGTTGTAAAATATGGAGTGTTTGTGGCAATAGTTGTAAGAGCTTTGGTCTTGCTACGACAACCTTGCAGAATCAATTCCCGTCTCGGAAAACCTGACATCAAGCAGCACTATTATCAATTGCAAATTGGAAATACAGGTTGAAAATGGTGTGAAATATAGTAGCCCATCCACGATTTGCTGCAAAAAAATAATCAAATTAAAAATACTTAATCAACTAGAATCACAACTAGAAATGAAACTTATTGGTTGCTCTCTAATAGCCATCTCTAATCAAAAACAATAATTAATAAATATTTAATATAATAGACGAATTGTAATTTATATGTCAAAATATAAAGATAACCATAGATAAAAAGGATGAACCTAGTGAAATATATTAATCAATTAATTAGAAATAAATTATTCAGGCACAGTCAGGCTAACTGAAGATTCTATTAGCCTGGGTAGGAAGTTTTAGAATATTAGATTGAAAATCACTAATAATTGAAACGATTGAAATTAAGTTCACAAATAAGTAGTAATCTATTTTTTCCATTCTGTATAAAAATATCAACTGTTTTGAATCTTAACAACTTTTGGAGCAACTTATCTCGATATTTAAGCTTATTTATATTTCATAAGTAAATCACATTATAAACTATATTGTAGTAAGTTCTACTATAAATTTATATATTTAACATGATATAGTTCTATTAGGGTACAAATATTTCAACTTTACAAATTGCAAATGTATGTTGTTTAAGATAGCAGTTTGACTCAGCAATAGTGATATCAAAATAATTTTTATAATATTGGAACATTATGTTATATAGTTCTTATAAATAATTATTTCTAACTTTTTGTCCTGTTTTATTTTTTGCAGGTGATGTTGTGTAATAATACATTAAGCGGTGTAATTATGTACATAGCTTTATTATTCGCTCATCCACTTGGAGCCTTCACATCGACTATAACTTGTTCTATCGGAATCTTTACTGCATATGTAAGTAATTAATAGATTTTAAGTTTTATGGTCTTTATAGTTTATATTTAAGATTTATTATCTTTGATTCATGAAAAAGAATAGCATAATAAAATAAAATTAAATTAAATTTTAAAAAGGATTTAATCTTGCAAATTGTGATTCTAGTAAATACTTTCAAGATCTAATAATAAATGGTAGTCTGTCTGAAGGTAGGTCCGTGGTTTGAAAGCACCACAAACAATGATTTCTGTTCCCTCTCGTGTTTATTTTTCTGTTACCCTTTTATTGCCATTATATCACTTTTATTCACTTTAATACATTTTTTCAAAACTTCTGCTTCCATATTTCTTGTTTTCTATTTGGTTTTCAGTTCCCTGTGTTCAGCAATTATCTGCATTTTTTCCCTAATTTTTTTAATCCTTCTATTTTACCTTCGACGACTGTATAAGAGTATATAATATTGTTAGTTCATTTTTCACAAGGAGTTAATTTTCTATTTGGATATAATCTGATATAGCGCTGAACTTATCATTTGACTATATTAAATTATGCCAATGTAATTACATGCCCCGAGTTCTCCGCATCATAAATACTATAAGTCTTACCTAATCGATAATTTGTTCAAGCATCCATGAACTTCTCTAATTAATATTAAGCTGGAGATAGATGCATTTCTGAATATTGAATAGCTTCTACTAGCATAGTTGTCCAAGAATATTTCAAATCGTCTTATACATCTAATTGTTTAAAATAATAAAAAATCTACACCCGTTGTAAGGCGGTTATTAATATTATTCACATGGGAAAGTATGTTTTTGCGTTATTTAGTGTTACAGAAATAGACATGAAAAAATGTTACTTCAATTGAATGGTTAGCTAAATAGAGTACCAATACAAGAAATATCACGTTGAAAAATCATTCATTCTTTTGAAGATTCTAAAAATAATATGCACATGTGATATCTAGTGGAATGCTTAAGGGTGGGTTGAATTCTGGTATTATTTTCCATTGTTGAACAACTATATAGCCGCAAGATACATATGTAAAACGTGTTCTTTGAACGATTTACTGCGAGTTCAAGGTGCGATATTCTGTCTCTCATGCTCTTAAACTGAATCAAATTAATAAATTGTACTTAAATTTGCAGTTAATGTTACAATATGATAACTATAAAAATCAGTGTACTAGTACCAAGGTTTATAAATGCTCTGTATTATTTTGTAATCGTTTAAATGACATTAAGAATAGGGTGGCTCTACTAGCCAGTGTATCAAGATTTAGATCTCTAATAAATACCTGATCGTCCAGTGATTTAAGATTAAATTAGGTAAGAATCTCGGAATTCGAGATACCCAGCTATGAGTCTGTAAATAACTGTATATTGACACCCTAAAGGTTGTCTCAAAACCTACATATATTGCGTACACCATACCATATGTAGGTTTTGAGACAATTTTTAGGCTGTCAATATAGAGTATTTACAGACTTACAGCTGGGTATCTCTAATTCCGAGGTGAACTTACTATGATGAATGGACTATGAGATCAAGTAGTGTCGTAGTTGAAGAACTGCAGTTCTATTAAAACAATAATAGTTACTTTGTTACAGAATATTAGAATAAGTACTCGTAAAATGATGGTGCCTCATTTCCAAATCCTCTAATTATATTACTTGATCTTCTTTTGAAAAAAGAAATTCTTTACCTAATTGCTCTTGAAGGTTTTTAATGTTTGCTTTTTAGTTGATCCGTCAACCAGGTAGCGTTTTGTCAAATGGATTAGCCGGGTACAATCCGCTCCTCGTCGGCATGGTGACAGCCGTCAGTCAACCCAATATGCTTACTGGTGATACAGCTGTCATCGCCTGGTTATACGTCATCATTGCCTCTATTATATCGTAAGTAAAAAATATACTTATTATGCATATATATATATACAAAAAAGTAAAGTGAAATCTTAAACTACTAACCTAATTACTAACCTAAGCCAGTAAAATGAGGTGTAAAGTTGCGAATCATATTGAAAATGGAAAATTTGAAAAATTTCTTATTGTATTTGTTGTGACAAGAGATGTTAAGAAGTTCGTGATCCACCGAGATGCTGCCGAACTCTATTATTACACTTTGTTTATATTTTCGAAGCACCAGATGTATTTAGATAATGCCTATATCAAACCAATTAAATTAGAAAGATGTTAAGTAGTTTTATTTATTGTATATTTACATAACTAAGATGCTGATTAATTGAGTTAGATGTTACTTGTTTGAATGTTGAATTTAGTTACTTAGTTAAAGTTGGAGATATTACTCCTTTGAGTGTTGATTTTAGACTGTTACAAAGATTTGATAATTTTAAATTATTTTTCACGTTGGCCCATTTTATGGACTTAAGTGACATCCCATTACAATTTTGGATCCAATCAGTGGCTGTTACATTAATTAACCAATCAGGTATTGACCGGTGATCGCATGGTCCGAAGAATTAAATGGGGTACAGGTGATCCGAGTTTCTTAGAAATATAAATTAATTGTAGAATGATATATTTAGGGACAGAATGCATGATACTAATACGGATTATTTTAATTTGAAATAGTATAATAAAGGATTAGGGTTTATTGCTGCTATCCTGTATAAAAATAATAAAGCATATAATTAGATCAGGTTGGTCAACAATTTGTCTGTTGATTAATTCGATAACAATGAATGTAAAGCTGAATTAATTAAAAATTGCAAACTTATTGAATCCGTCATAATATTTATTGATTATAAACTATTATTTATTCTGACAAGGTGTCTGATTGAGATACAGTATGTATAAACATGTATTTAGTAATAATGGAATAATATACTTTTGCTCGACGTCGAATACAAAAGACATTGAATCGAAGACAAAATACACTTACACTACACTACTACACAACGGTTAAATATATCAAGCAATTAATAATTGAAACATTGCATTATGATATATACCAGTTTGTGAAATAAACTTAAATTTAAAAATAATGTGTGCAAATAAAATTCAGTTTCTAATTAATAATTAACTGGAATTATCCATAGTAGAATAATCTATTAATTTACACATTATTAACCCATTAATTACTAATCGATCAATGATCAGCATGCCGCAGGCAATAGTATATTTTTTTCTATTAATTTCAATCCATGACGAACTTGCAATCAAAAAAATAGTATTCGCTGATGTTGATAAAATATCTCACGTAAACGTTTTTTATTTGGACAGACACATCAGATACGAGATCGTTATCGGATTCTATGAACATGGAAGAAAAAACATGATCAATGTTTTTGCGCTATTCAAGGTGTCATATTCCAAGCTTAATTTAATTTGTTCGCCGAGATTACAATAAATTAATAATACGTATACATCGTTAAGATGATATCTTCATTTATCATTTCTCACGGTATTGAACTTTAGATTTGCATAACGATCACGAAGAATTAGTTCGCATACTTGAACTTAATTTGAGAAGTATGATGTTTCAGAGAATAAGAAATGGAGATGAATGTATTTATTATCAAATCAATACTGTATCAGGAATTTATTTTTGATTAGAATAATGATATTATAACTTACTAGAGATCTGGATTAGTAAATATAGGGAAGACTGGGTACGGTTGTGCCAGGGTACGGTAGTAATAGAAGTCAATACTTGTATATTGACACCCTAAAAGTTGTTTCAAACCTACATATGGTTTACCCTACCATATGTAGGTTTTAAGACAACTTTAGGGTGTCAATATGCAAGTATTTACAGACTTACAGCTGGGTATCTCGAATTTCAAAATTCTTACCTAATTTAAGCATAAATCCTAGACATATACTGATGTTGAGGTAGGGTCCAGAGGGAGAAAGATGAAGTATGTTTGTTTGAACAAGTTTGCATTATTGCATTGGGTCAACGCCCTACATTAACATGATCTGTAAACCGCATTGCTTTTAAAAAGTCACACTAAGTTATCATGTTCGAATTATTTTAATAATAATTGTTAATTGTATACAGATGGAACACTTTGCTTGTTGTTTTGCTGTAAGTTGAACATTAGTAATTATTAACTAGCAATTAGTTTTTGCTTAGATAATTTATAGTTCAATCAGAATGATGATTTGTTTGCGTGTGCGTTGGTTTCTGACAAATTTTGTGGGTACGGTTGTGACATGTATTTATCGTTTTTTTCGTGTGAAGATTAAACAGATAAAAAATCTAACAAGACAAAGTACGAAAGAGAAAGTAGAGAAAATTCAATTCAAGCGAAAAACACTTCACAAAAAAAGTATGTTTTATAAGCAACATTCAATTTCTTCTTTGCTATATCAGAAGCCATTGAAGTCACTAAAATAATTAAAAATGATGATATGTTGAAATTTGTGATTATTTTGAATTAAAGATTTTCCAATAACTAGATTTTTTAAATAACTAAATAGTTACTATAAAATTTATAATCGGATAATATAATACACTTACAAAAACTTAAATTTATCCATCAAACAATAGTTTTTCATATATTGAAATATATAACACAACTACTTTTTGCATTGAGATTCAGTGCTAATATTATGTGCATACATAAAACAATATTCTTTTATTTAGATTAATGACTTCCATGCATTCTTTGGCGATCAGGTACCTGTCAATGAAAAAATCATATTTGTACTCACATCTACGCATAGGCCGTTTGTTCACATATAATATTCTGTTATGTATATAATAATATATATCATTGCCTTTATCTGACTTTCCATTTCAAAACAACTGGTTGGCCCTCGGATAATTCGAAACGGTATAGTGTAGTATTATTTACATATAATATATATATATATATATATATATATACATATATATATATATATATAATATAAAGTTACCAGGTAAATTATACGTGTGAGCTCCCATAACTGAAAACTTTGCAAAATGATCCATTAAAGTGTTGCGCATTCATTAAATATCTAATGCTGTTGCGCAAAATTCTAGGTCGCTGCGCTTGCCAATAAATAAATATTACACAAATAAGTGTTGTAAACAAAATAATTAATACTGAAAGGGTAGTAAACATTAAAATTAAATTGAATTTTAAAGTCTATTCATTCCGCTTCGATGAGTGTGCAGTAGTGACATAGATTTTCACTTGGAAATATAGATATAATTGTTTTCAAGTGAAAATGGCGCTTATCCGGCATTGCTGCCATCAATCAAATATTTGCCCTATTACAGAAATTGTGATAGGAAACATTCTCACCCAGAGATGAGACAACTATACAGATAACTGCTTGGCATATTGAAATACAATATGTAGTCAATAAATCTTATTAGGAGTTAAAGATGACCTGTTTTAGGACACTTCTATATGATAAACTTTTCTCTCTTTTTCAATTTCCATAAAGTTTTATTAAAAAAAGCATTTATACACAAAAGCATTACATTTATAAAAAGGTTCTTACGATGCATTCTAACCTTTTTCATCTAACTTTTTTTTTATTTAAATTTTTGCAAGAACTGTTAACTAAAGATTTTTGTGTATAATATTTATTGACTTTTAGGGTAATGCATTTAATTGATGAATTATAAAAATCGTAATTATAAAAATATTCTAATACTATTTTTTGATCACGTACATTTAGTTTTCATATGTATTAGATCCCTAGTCATTTTCTTTTTAATTTTATTGAGTTTTGCACAAAAGCAGCAGCCACATTGATCAACATTATTCTGACAGTTCGGCGTATGTAAGTTTATCATATAAATATATTATATTGAGAGCTAACGTCATAACTTTTTCAAATTGTCCATTTATCATGATATCGACTTCTAATATATGTCTTAATCCAGTGATACTTATTTCTATTTGTTTAAAAACGTAAATACATCATATACACGTTGAAATATATATGTATAATAAGGATTTTTCTCAACATTTGTCCAAAAAATTATTAGAAATATTTTTTAATAGAGTTCTGCAAACATTACATTATAAGCTTCTTTCAGTTACGATGGCATAAAAAATCGTTTAAAAATAAAATCATGCTAACAAACAGTAATTAAAATATATATTCAATATAAAACTTATGTATTAAACTAAAAATAAAATAAGGTAAACTAGCATTGATCTTAATTCGGTACCATTATTCGATGTTTATCGTGTTTACATTTTTCATGTTCTTAAATATTTCTCTAAAATAATTTTACTTTGACTTTCAATATTTTGAATTTATATATATATATATATATATATATTATATATAAATAGCATAATTCGAAAATCGCATAAACTCATTTCTAGAGCGAATGAAATAAGAAAAATATAAATTAAACTTTTTAAACCTGATATAAAAAGTCTGATATTTTAGACCTATCTTGATGAAAGAAAACTCGATCGTTAAGTAGTTAAAACATTTTATGATTATTTTTATTTTTTGTTCTTCAACGTTATTTATTATTAGGTCAAAGCTTTTCAAATGTTGTTCGCTATTCCCTCAGCAATTGATTTGAAATATAAAGGTTTGGATAAACTTCTCTTGACAAAAAAATTTAGAATAAAAATTTTTAAATGTTAAAATTTAAGTTTATATCTTGAAAATGGAGTGAAACTCAGGTGAAAAAGTGTGCCAAAATCTTTGAACTTAACTATTAAGTGCCATTATATGTAAATATACAAACACTGTTATATTACATAAATGATGATGAATCGTAATTAATATATCATGAAATATTATTTCTATTAGTTTTAAATTATGATTTATGATTTCAGAGTATACTTAGCAGTGCATTTGGCATCTCTGCTGGGAAGAGCGGAGCTCCTGGTCTGACTTGGTCTTTCAACATCACACAATATTTGCTACTAATTGTTCTCTGGACTTATAGAGTGAATATTGAGCGACATAATTCTGTCACCGAAATTAACCAGGTAATATTATCTCAACGTTAGTGGTTAAGAAATTAGATATGATAATGCAATATCTAAATTTTGTAACGCTAGCATTTTAAATATTTATTTATTAATCGATTAGATATTATTACACACACGTGTATAATATTGCAATTTTTTTAATTCAATTATAGTTTCATAAATAGTCAATCAAGGTATTCAAATTTTTATTCATTATCAAATTATTACTGTAGTATAAACCTATAAAATATTTTGTGTATAAAATGGAACAAATCACTTTTTCATTTCGTCAAAGGTCCGTTCTCTCGAATACTGAATTAGCATTTTTTTAACATATTGCCCTGTATCTTTGAAACTACTAAAACAAAGCAGGTCTTCTCATCAAAAGGAATCTAATGTTTTGCGAATCATTCAAATCGGTTGATCCGTGCTCTCGAAATCGTCGATGGAAAATTGTATCCGCACACACACACACACGTGCATACATACATACATACATACATACATACATACATACATACACACAATACATCATTTTGTGTAAGATAAACCAATTTCCAGAAATTTTCTGATTACTATAACGTTTTCTTGAGAAAGTTAATAATTTGAGCTTATTGGTTAATTTTTAATTTAAAACTAATTAATTTATTCAGAACGTACCAGCGACCAAGTATTTCGAATATTGTTTTTGATCCTCGTGGTAGAACTTTGTCGTTATTGGTGTAAGTTAAAAGTTTTCGAAAAAGTAAATTTGTAATTCGAGGATAATTTGCTTCAATTTTTATCTGCGAATATTTATTCTTCAACGTGTTAAAAACGATTACTTATAATATTTATTATTATGAATCTTCATCATTTGAACCGACGAAGGTGATAGTGTCAATTTTTATTCACAAAGTTTAATTGTCATTTGCTTAATCAATTAACTTTTAATAAATAAAATAATGTGATAAATTATTTTTTACTTGCAAATCTAGACTTCGATATAATGATATATTAAACGAACATCATAAAATTGATCGTTCATGCGTCTTATAGTGTGCGATTTTTCCCTTTTGCATATTTCTCTGCGATCTATTTAATATGTATACTTCAAATGCAATTTCGAATGCACGATTCAATAGATTTATTTCTTTCGATCGTCTACTGCAGAATTACAAATACATTACGATGTATAAATTTTTATTGCTCGGAATAATCCGCATCGCTGATATAATTATTTCTATTGAACGGAATCAATCGTCGCGCGTTCGATGCGATGTGATTTATTGGAACGCGAACTTCTGCGGTGTGTTTGTCAATTCTCTGATTCAACGGCTCGGCTTCGTTTCTCGATGGGAACGCATTTCTCAATGCTGTTTTTCTTCGATATTGGCGCATTTTTAATGATTTGATACTTTATCGGCGAAGTGATCAGATCCGCAGTTTTCGCTTTGAAATGACATAATAATAATAATAATTAAACTGGAAGTATTTCAAGTGATAATGAAATTTATCACAAGGAGATAGGTACATGATAGGATAGTGGGGTGCTATGTAATATTCTATGTAGACTTTCTAGTATATAAATATCCTATTACTTAGCTTTTTATATTCTTATAGTAGTGGCGATGGCGTAATAGTCCAAGCCTCACGGACTCGTATAGAAGGGTCGTGAGTTCTAACGCGATGTCCATTTTCACTTGAAAATATAGATCAAATATATGTTTCCAATTGAAAATAGCTCATTTCAGGCACTGCGATGTGAAATGGCAATTGAAACCTCTACACTTTCTTTCCCTGAAGTTGGAGTTTAACTCAGCCCACGGATCTGCCCTAGGGCAGTACTTACCCATTAAAAGAAACCGAATCGTGATAAATATATGTATTATAAAGCTTTTATTGTCCACAAGGCGAGCAACAAGTTGTACTAGTGGTTTATCTTGCATAGCAAACAGTTTATGAAGTTAACAATATTTTGTAAAAACAAGCAATAAAATGTGATATTATACTAAAAGCATTGGGCTGTAAGTATTTCTTGGAAGCTATCGATTATAGACGTTGCAATGTTGTTGATAATAATATTAAGGGCATATTTTATTTTTAAAATAAAACAGATTAAACATTCGATTATGATAATGATTTTAAGTACTATTTCGGTTCATCTTATTCATAATTGTAGCAGGTGCTATAATTATTAGTT